CAGATATGAATCTGAAAAGAAGGAAGTTTAAAGAATCTGAAGAGAAGATTTTTGGGAAGAAGAAGAAGATTAGAAAATGCAAGAAGTCTAATCAACTGAAAGACTTATCTGATAACTATTTGGAGTCTTTCTAGTTTGCTGAACAGGTTCCAGATCTACCCATATTACCATATTTGAAGGGATCTGGAGTCACAAGGAAAAGAGTTGAGCTTCAGAGAAGTCCCAACCACACCAGTTAATAATCTGGTTGGGCAAAGTCGAGCCAACGACTTTAAACAAGGAAAAGAGTTGAGCTTCAGAGAAGTCCCAACCACACCAGTTAATAATCTGGTTGGGCAAAGTCGAGCCAACGACTTTAAAAATGGGCGGCTTTCCGAGAGGCAACCCGATGAGTAGTTTTTAGTTTTTTTTGCTTTCAATAAAGAGATGGTCACAGTCCCAAGCAAGCTTGGGGAAATCAGAGGATCAACAGAGTTGCTGAAATTCAGATTTTTCGCCACATCTTCGTCAAAATCAGAATTTCTGCAATCTATCAGGTACATTCATTCCTAGCTGCATATTTTTGCTTTTATATTCTTTATTGAGCTGTTCATTCATCTCTAAGCATTGAAGACAATGCATCATTTTAAGCTTGGGGAGGGGGTTAGTGTAAAAAAATTTACATTTTGGTTAAAAAAAAATTATTATTTTTTCAGTTTTCATTTAAATTTTTCAAATTTTGTTTTTTTTGTTTGCATTTTATTCTATTCCATTTGCACATAAAAATTCGAAAATCCAAAAAAAAAAATATTTTCTGTTTTCATTTTTCTGCATTCATAATAAAAAAAACCCAAAAAGATTTTATTTCTAGTTATTTTTATTTTTTCTGCATTCCAAAAAAAATCTTTAAAATCTTAAAAAAAATAATTTACATGAGATGAGGATATCTTTTTACATTCGATAGGTCTGTTAAGATGAAGTGTGATAGTTACCGAAAATAACGGTCTCATTACAATCAATTTTAAGAATTATTTTTCAAGTGCTTTAAATGTTTTCAATATGAACGAACATAAGAGTCAAATAGTTTTTACAATGAAAGTGTGGGATGGAAAATCGAACAGTGTTTTGAAAATAATTTCCTTTGATGCCATAAAAAGAACCTAGATTGGATAACCCTTATCAGTCCCTGAAGTACTGAACCCTATAGTTTCTGCGCCTTTTGAGGTTAGGAGGGAACTCTCGTTATACCCCCATAGTAGTTATCATTTTTGAAGTATTGAAGATATGGAGGGCCTCAAAGTAAAATTCGCGCCCAATCAATATATATATGTTAGAAATGATATATCAAGCAACTAGAAGAAATTTGAAATTCAAAGTTAAATCCAAGTCAAGTTCAAATCGAAATCAAGAAGCAAGCAAGTTAAATATGAAGAGTTGATCAAGACAAAGAAGATGTGTGGTATAATGAGATTGATCCCTCGATAGTGGAATCATAGGAGTAAGCTTGAATTTTCTGTCCATAATGGAGCTTACCGCGTTTACTGGATGAGTTCAGAAAAAAAAAGGAGGGGTTGGTCAAGCTAAATTTTTATAAACGAATTTTCGTGAAATTATTTTTAAAAATACACTGTTTTCACAAATTTAATTTGGCGTAACAATTATTTGCTCAATCTTGGTTTAACTAATTAAATATGAAATATGAATCGTTAATATGAAATTATTGAGACTGTTGTCTAGGTAGTGATTTCATTGGAGCTTCCTTGTTGTGAAATCTGATCATGTGAACAAAAAAATAGTGAAGTGTTTTGATAAAGTTTAAAATTTTAGTTTCCTTAACCTTGTTTTAGTTTTAATTCTAAGTTTCTTTTTTGGTTATCTACATCATTCCATTTGTTTATAATGTTTTATCTTTTTCTTATTTGAGGGCAAATAAGGTTTAAGCTTGGGGAGATTTGTTAGATGCCATTTTATGCATATTATAGGGTAGTTTTTATCATCATTTTAGCATCATATTTCGTACATTTGCATGTCATTTAGATAAATAATGTTCGGCTCATGTCGTTCGTTAGAATTCCCGTACTGCTCATGTTTTATGTCAATTTCAGATAGTTCAAGTGGAGCAGTGCTTTGGGAGCAGTTGGATGCGCGTTTGGAGCTCAAAGTGAAGCTTGGAACTTTTAGAGTATGTTGATGAATTCTTGCAAGATGCTTTGGTCAAGAAACATTCGATTGAATTGATCACACGAAGATAGAATATGCAATCTAAAGTTAAAGGATGTTGCTGGCAGCTTTGACCCCCTGTCATTATTTTGACCATATCTCAAGAACCATAACTCCGATTGACGCGATTCAAAATGATCTGAAAAGTAGACAAAATTTCGGACGTAATAGGCACAACCTGCGATCACATGTTGTCTCTTTGCGATCGCAGGTGACCCTTTTTGCGATCGTAGGTTTGGTCGCAGGTTGCCTTCGTGGTTCTTTTGTGCCCAAAATTCATCCGGAGTGAAAACTCAATACCTGTGATCGCAGGTTGTGTACGTGCGATCGTAGGTTGGCCAAAAAGTTCCAGAATAGCATCCTACTTCATTAAAAAGGCACCAGACACGTTTATTTCAAAACCTGCGATCGCAGGTTGTGTACATGCGATCGCAGGTGCGCCGCTTTTGCTGTTGGACGTATAAATAGACCCTAATAGCATTCCTGTAACCTAAGTTGGCGATTCCAGAGGTTCAAAAATACGATTTTGGAGGCATTTCTTCTCCGATTTTAGCAATTTCTGAAGATCTAAAGACTGTGGATCATCTCCTACATTTAGTTTAGTAAGATTTAGTAGTTTAATGTTTCTTTTTATTGTTTTAGATCAGATTTTAGCCATGTCTGGCTAAACCCTAGTTTTCAGTTTTTCAACTACAAGTACTTTTAATGTGATTGATCATTACATGTGGTTTTTGATTTGTGTTTCTATCTAGATTCTTCAGTTTTGTTCTTAATGAATGTTTGATTTTGATTCTTGTTAGTCTGATCACCTAGCTAGGGTTTTATCATTCCAGTTAATCAGTTAATAGAATCTGTAATTGTTCTAATTAAGTGGTAATAAGTAACAAGTAATAAATCGGTTCCGTGTTTGGGATTTGAATTTATTATAAACTGTAAAAATCATACCTTTACGCTTCCGAGCTTGTGAGAAGTATTGGGTATTGCTGGGAATTTTACAAAGAACTTAATGCAACTTTTCTGATCTTAATTAAGAGCTTGTTTGATTAGACAGTAAAAAGTTAGGGTTAATTGAATAGCTTGTTTTGGTTAACTAAATAAGGTAAACGAGAAATTACTAGAGCTTGTTAGTTTTTCTCAGTACCAGCTTAGATAGAACACATCTCAAATAATCAGATCTGGATCAGTTGCATGATTAGGAAAGTCACAGCAGAGCTGGAACCATTTTTATTAATGATTTTCGTTTACTTTATTATCACTGCAATTTTAGTTTTTAGTTTAATTTAAAACCCCCCTTTTATATTTTCTGTTTCTTGACTAGATGTGCCTGATGCAAAAAGGCATTAACCATTAGGCCGTGCGCGACAGCGTGTTAACAGGTATGTTCTGGGGAATTCACTAAGAATTAGCTTACAGTTTGTGGATTTGTTTTAGGTACATCTGAGCCCAAGGGCAAGGGCAAGACTTGATGGCGCGACATACACTCTCTCTCTGACATTTTTATGGGACACTCTGATGATTTGAAATAAAATTGTTATTGTTAAGAATTTGAAAACAATGGTATTGAGATTTTTTGGTTTATGGAAAGTGTTTATGACTATTTAAAAATGAAAATTTTCTTTTGAAAAATCGGGTCGTTACAAAATCCTTAAAAAGTAGGGTTGGTAGTTTAGTTTTTCCCATTTATTTACAGAGGGTGTGGCACATCCTTTCACAACAAAAATCAGTTAAGGTGGATTTTTCTCCAAATCTCTCGGAAGAAGGTACATAGATGGAAAGGTATCATACATTGACTATGTTTGACATTGAAGAGTTCTTTGTATATGAACTTAATATCATGATGAAAACTACGGTACATTAAACACAAAGCTATGTACTACCAGTTTTGTATGTCTGATGTGCAGTTAAACTTTGGCTTTTTACCACTTGCAAATGACTGATATGTGATTAATTTGTCTACGTATGTTGTCATGTCTAAGGATATAAAGGTATACATTGATCGTGTGAAAACACATTTGCATATGTACTTTATATCCCCTGCTAAAATGATTATTGAGGAGATAGATGATGAGCAATCCCTTGATTATAGTTGAAGGATGAAAAGAAAATAAAGAAGGTCTTGCATCAAGAAACTTGATATTGACTTGAACAAATATGTTGACCTTTCCCATATAATTAAGGGAAAATGACTTAAAAGCCCAACAAAGTTTACAAATCATTCAAAAAACTTCAATCATGTTTTGTCTGTTCAAAAAAACCCAATGACCTTAACCTTTTGTCTAAGAAGTCCAACAAGTTTGAAACCATTCAAAAAATCCCAATTTTGTTTTGTTTAAGTTCATTGGGTTTTTTTTTGAACAGTCAAAACATGACTCTAGTTTTTTTAAATGTTTTGGAAACTTCGTTGGTCTAATAAGTCATTTTCCCAATACGGTAATAAACCACGTCATCTGTTTCTCTTATTTGATTTTCAGGAAAGTGTAACTTAGTTAGGCTTTTTAGACAAAATGTTAAGTTCGTTGGGTTTTTTTGAACAGACAAAACATGATCAGGACCTTTTGAACGTTTTGAAAACTTCGTGGGCTCATAAGTCATTTTCCCTATAATTAATGTTAATGATCCTAGTAACACGTCATATTCTATAGTCCCTTATAGAAATTATAGAGTGCATGAAAGGAAGATGAATGAGAAGTTTGATTACAAAGTATATAATGATAAGTGCAATATAAATAATCATGATGAAACAGTGGCTCATGACCATGATGAAATAATGATTGATGGTGGAGATGGGATAATGAGTGATGGTGGAGATACACCAATTCAATAAGAAAATGCCATACTATTGTATATATTCCTCTACTGATGGTTCTTGTTGAATTATATGTTCCAACTCCTCCTTTAATGATAACTAGAGGGGTTACCCGCGCGTTGCGCGGGGCGGAATGGGTCGGATGTGGATTACATACTAACTAACTAACTAAGAAACCCAAAACATCCATCAGTTTACATGTTTTTTAGTGTTTACAGAAACAAAAAAGTGCTTTCTCTTTGGATATTGCCTCTTCAGGCTCCGTTTCAAGTTTTATGCCAAGTACAATCTGGAAAAAAAAAAAAAAAAAGAATGATGTTTTAAATTTTAATGGCATGGCTACGACAGGTTGCAAAAATCTAATACATTCTATAATCAAAGTGCAATATTTTCCTATAAATGTTTCATCACACATCTTTTATCAAATGACCAATGTAAAGGGAGAATGAGTTGATTAAAGAGAACCTCATTTAAGCGAAAGGTATAATGCCTTAATAAAAAAATCTGTAATTACAATTTACATTGATAGAGTAGAAAGAAAAATAAGTTGGATGCTACAAGTTAACACATAAAACAAATGAAAATACATTAATGGAATGGAATGGTTCATTCCATTCCATTCTTCATTGAATTCCATCATACTAAAATAGAGAAGGAAGACCTGTATAAATGTTTTGCAATCTGAAATCCGAAAGGACAATCATGCAATTTCAAATCTTTCCTGCCCATCTGAAAAAATAGAAATTATGTACCTCTTTTCCAGCCAGCTTCCAAAGGTCCAACAATGGCTTGAATTTCGGCTGCAGGAACTGCTCGTAAAGTAGCTTCTGCTACAAATTGGTCTACCATTGATGCTTTCTTCTCATCATTTATTTTTTTGATTTCAGGATCCTATACAACCAAAAAGGGTATTTTAGGTATGATTTAAAAAAAAAAAAAAAAAAAGTAGTCGAGGCGAAAACAAACAGGCAAAGAAACCCAACAAAAGTTTGATTAAATTTACACTTTAGCATACAGATATACAGGCACAAATAACCACAAATGTTTGCACACATATTTATCAAGCGACACTTTTTTCTAAGGCATAATCAAAACTACAAATTAAGGAAACTTTTGTCTGATCCTTCATCACAACCAAATCAACATTAACTACCTAACCCTTATAAAGTCGGTTAAATCCAAGAAATAGCAAAGAACTTTTATTTTTTTATTTGTTATTACCTACTACTTTGATTTCTGCTTACAGAAACATTGTCGGTCTAGAAATGTTCCACTTTATATGAATTTGATTCTGAATGAGATTTCGAGTAACAAAAGTAAATATGAAAAGCACATAATTGGATTAAAAAGAAAGAAATAAACTCAAATCCTTTAAAATAAAGTAAAAAATTATACTTAGATACTTACATTGCTGAAGCATCCAGTAACCCTTTGAACACCTTCATTGGAATGATCAATCACGGAAATGAAATCAAAAGAAAGTAAGAATGAAAGAATATGGTGTTGTTAGTGAATGAAAAGTGAAACCAAATCATACACAGAGACTTGAAAGTCATACAGATGATGACAATTACCTGTTACCTTGTATGCTTCAAATACGAATTCGTTTGCCACTCTTATAAAAGAGAAAAAGCTCCCCATTATGACATATCTCTTTTCATATAACTATTGGCAGCTTCTTCTAATATAACAAATCCCCTTTGAAAGTTTGGATTTTTGTGTTTTAGGGCTGCAATGCAAATTAAATTGTAAGATAATTTGATGATAATTAATAATAAATGACGTAGTAAAATTTTGTAAAACTAAATAACCATAGACAATGAAATTGTAAAGTAATCAATCCAATAATTTGTTGTAACAGGGACCTTAAAAAAATATTCTTCTGGCATTCATTGCATCTAGGTGAACAACCATAGCGATCCTAACGAATAGTAATACACACATAAAGAAAACAGAGGGTTCATGGGTTTTAATTTAACTATTCCATTTACTTTCACTCACAAAGATTTTGTCATCTAAGGGGACAAAATACTCTGGCGTCATTCTAAATAGTAAACACATTCTACAAAATCAAAAAACAAACTGCGTGTTGATGAAATTACCTGAATTGCCACTTCCTCTATTCAATTTGGCATAATTGGAAAGTAGAGAACCTGATATCAATAATAAAATAAATCAATTTTAGATAATTGGTACCATAATTAGATAACTGGTCACTTTTGTAGAGAGCGTGAAACGCATTAGTGGTGTGCAGGAAAATAAATCGAATCCTGCAAAAAAAAATCAAAAATAACAGAAATAGAAACAAACAATAGCAAAATATCCAACTCAGTTCAGATTGTTAAAACGTTTAGTAAGGGATTTTATTTTCTTTTTTAGTTCAAGTTAAAAAGTATGTTACCTGGAATACAATCACTATAACAATAGCAAAATATCCAACTCAGTTCAGATATAATGAAGGCGCTCCTAACCGGATAATGATCATACATGAAGCCCACCACGCATGGACCATTTCTGTTATATGAATGCTCCTTAAAATCCATCACCATGAAAACAAATGCAATTAGCTAGCAGCATAACATATATCCACGGAAAACATTCTATGACTTTAATTTAGGGAAAATTATCACAATCTCACTTTAATCTAGGGAAAATTTTCATAAAATTAGATGGTGTCTTAATTACCTGATATCAACTTATCTATTACATTATTGTCCTTCTCAAAGTAAAATGTTGCAGTAGTAAGAAATAAAAGTACTCGCTTCCTAAGCTTTGAGATAGTAGAAACAGCATCTTCGAAAGCCTTGGTGTTGAGAGTGATGCCGTCTCCGACAGCTCCGAAATCCGTGAGATTAAACGAAAAGGGACGGTGAAAAGAGGAATCATCACTGAGAATCGACATTCAGAAGTGAAAAGAGAACAGATTAAAATAGAGATTGTGTTAATTACCATTTGGCTGGTTCTGTTAGGGGTTTGTATTTTGCCGTATTTGCGTTTCCATTGATTTGATCTTTACACTTAGGGCAAACTCCGGTGATGTTCGATAAAGGCCTAAACCTTCCTCCGACTTCGGTTTCGTTGATTTCGACGCCGGCATTGGGTTTCCAGGCGAACTTGTCGGCGTCTTTCGGCGGACCGTAGTCGAACTGAAGCAGAGAGTACAACCGGATCCGAGGACGACTTCCCTGAGGTGGTGAGGCGGTGGAAGGCGATGAGGTAACGTCGATAAGATGAGAGGCGGTGGAGTAATAGAAGAAGTAAACATTCAAAGTGATTGAAGGTTTTGAGTGATCGGTGTAGGGATTAAGCGGTGGAGATTGCCGACTAAAAAGAATGAAAAAGCAAATGTATCTGAAGCGGTGAAAGAAGGAAGGGTAGGTAGCGGGGATTAAACTAAAAGAGTGATAGATGAGGCGGTGGAGGAATGAAATTGGATGATAGGGGCGGTTATAGATTTGAACATACAAAATAGGAGGTGTAATCGGGGAATATTTGGGCAGAGATAGAACGAAGGACGAAGAAAAGAGGAACGGTGGAAGAAGAAGAGAGACGGAGAGCATAGATGATAGGGTAGTTTGGAAGAGCAGGGTGTGTGACACGAATGGATTTTTGGGGTGGTCGGTGACACGCGGACAGAACAGGTATCACTTCCTAAGCGGTGCATTACACCTGGTAATCTGGTGGACAACCAACAACACGTGCACCACCAACAGTTTAAATAATGACATAAAAGGCCCAAGGTAAAGAAAAAAAACGGATTTGAACATACGGAAATAGACAGGGGACCATTTTTGTCCATCCTTGGCATTGGCAATTTTACTGTAGCTAGCTAAGGACGGAGAACTTTAATATATTGTATAATAACTAACATAGTTTATATTTTTACCGATAACAGGCCACTACCGATTCAACCACTGAACCATTAAACACACCCTACCATTAAACAAATAGACATAACACCTGGTTCAAAATGAAAATGGACATAACCATATATGGAATTAACCCAAATTTGCAAAATCACTTGATTCGTCAACCACCCAACCTCCTCTATGTTAGAGTTAACCTAGAAGATCAGGATAATACCAAAGGATTATTATAATATTATTTATATTAAATGATTTTTTCTACTACATCAAAAATACTATTTTCCTAGAGTCTCTGCAAGTATATATATATATATATATATATATATATATATATATATATATATATATATATATATATATATATATATATATATATATATATATATATATATATATATATATATATATATATATATATATATATATAGAAAAGTTCAATATAGAACCATAATTATTGGTTCTTCAAGGAATCAAATCTTTTTTTCAATTTCTAGACTTTATTCTTTATCGAAAAAAATCTAAAAATATCTAAATTCATATATTAACATTGTGAATGTGAAAAATATTTTTCGGATTCACCGTGTGAATCCGGATTCACATTGTAAATTTTCAAAGATTCATATTGTGAATTTGACGTAAAGAAAAAATCAAATTTGATATCATTAGAAAAAGGACAAAAAGTTATGAATTTTTGTATTTTTAGTTTCTTTTGTTTTGATAAAAATAAGTTCTAAAAGTTGAAAAAAAGATTGGTTCCTTGGTTAATTATGGTTCTCTATTGAACCTCACCATATATATATATATATATATATATATATATATATATATATATATATATATATATATATATATATATATATATATATATATATATACTAGCTGTGTACCCGCACAAAGCGGCGGGAAAAAGTTATTCCGAGCAATGATTAATTCATTTCAGTGAATAGTTTTTTTTGTTGCTATCATATTAAACCATAAAAACCATTACGTATCAACCAAGTTACAAGATATTGATAATTATTTAGTTCTTACTATCTCAAAAGCTGGTAAATTCATTTCAGAGTCACTTCCTTGCAAATTGCAATTAAGCAATCAGAATGTTAACTTCAAATAACTGTAACATCTTAACTTGTTTCAGAACTTTGACCGGATTGATGGATTGTGGGTTTGTAATATTCAACCCGCTTTTTTTATTTCCGGTCTATGAGTTGCTTTTATGGTCTTGAAACCAAATTTAGATTATAATCTTAACACAAATCTTTATCAATATTAGTTTCATTTCCATGAATAGTTTCGTGTATGCAATTATTTTTTCGAGGATAACGAATAGCTTGTCTATCGGAGATTGTTTTTCTAAGACATTTTGTATTGAAATAGAGTTTACAAAATTATTTCAAAGAATTTACTTTAGGAGCAATAGTTCTTTCTTTGGTTTGTGAAGTCGTCGTATTTACGGTATATAGCAGGTTAGAAGTTTTTGTTGATCCGTTATCAATTCTAGTTCTATTTGTGGTATCTAGAAGGTAATGAGGTTAACTAATACAAATGAAAGTCTTAGTTCTAGTTTTTTTTGAATGGTTCTCTTGCGTCATTATTTTTTTCTTTTTTAGTAAAGAATTTGAAAAATGCGTTTAGTTAAAACTTGTTTATTTTTCATTTTCTATTATAGAAAATTAGAAAACATGTTTATATGTGTATTTTTCTATCATTTTTCATTTTTAGAAAAAGTGGTGGTAGTAAGGTGTGGATGAGTGGGGTAGGGTAGTGGTGTTAGCAGCGGTAGTGTTGGCAGTGGTGGGTAGGGGTGGCAGCTACAGTAGAGGTGGCGGTGGTGGTGGCATGGTATGATGGATGGGGGATAGGGTAGGGGTGGTGGTGGTGGTTGCGTTGGCGGCAGTGGTGATTCAGATCTGTTAGATGCCCTTCTGAGTATAGAATAGTTCTTCACCGGAGATATTTGTTCATTATCGAATTATTCAAACGGGCCACAGTCGTTCATATGTTGGAAGTAGATATGAATGAAGATTGTCGTGAATTGGTGTGTGAAAAGTATTAGACATAAGCAAATGTTTGCTGCAACGTTCATGAGTGCTTATGAATGTGATTTGAGCATTGGATTAGACCCACGCTCACTTGGATCACTCCATGGATTGTATCACGAGTGATTGGTGAGACGATAACATCTTATATTCTTGAAACCGAGATGTGTGAGTTGTATCTTGCAAATCGGTTACACATTGATAATATGTAAACGCACCAGTAACTTGGTGTTATAAAACATATTGTTGTGTGTGATTCGGTGCGTGAGTACAAGCAAGCATTGTATCAAAGTTTATCCGTTCCTTTTATCCAAAGTAGGATAAAAGCGATATCTTTGGGCCCCTCGATGGTTTAGTGATGACAAACGTAAATGCTCGGCCGGGCTAGGGCTAATTTGATTTGTTCAATTAGTCAGTCGTCATAAATCGGAAATCGAGATATAGTACAAAGAAAATGATTTGAAATCATTGCTCATATGATATCTAGAATGGAGGAATATATGATCCCTTATCTAAGGACACGCGTATTTGATATGATCAGAGTTGACAGTGGTTTTGGAAAGCTACGATTGCAGATCAGGATCTGAAGTCATACGCATAATAGTTATTAGACTTATCCAAGTGGGAGACTGTTGGATTAGTGTCTAAGTCCATAACTATTTTGGTATGTACTTGACCCGATGGTGCATGGTCCTTTTGGGTTGCCTTCACCAAAGCAACTTGATTGGAGAAATAAATAGAGAGAGAGGATAATATGATTTATTAATATGTTATAAGGATAATATATTAAAGGAGAAATCATATTTGTTTAATTAATATTGGTCAATAATTAATTGAGAATTAATTTTGTGATCAAATGTAATTAATTAAACTAGAGGGGCTGATTTGTAATTATGTGATAGTTACAAAATAAGGTAAGGATTATCTTATAAGTGTGGTGAACGAATTTAAGGTTGGAAAGCCTTAGAATTCGAGTATGATAAGGATTCAAGGATTATCTTATTGGTTGCTTAATGGATAATCAACTAGATAAGGATAATGACTGAAACCCTATCTCTACACCTATATAAACAACCCCAAGGTCATGAATTTGGGTATCCCTTCCCAAGAGGTCCCAAAATACGAATTCTAACCTCCCTCCTCTCTCCTTATACCTTCTCCACTTGCTTATGGTGTTTGTAAGCCATTAGAGGAGTGACACTTGTGACTCTTTGCTTTCCAAGGTCAATTCAAGGAGGAATTGGATTGTTATTGCTATATAACAATCAAGGTATGTTCTTAAACCTATTTACATGTGAATTCTGATTTCCATATGCTAGTATTAGGGTTCAAAGTCTTGGATTCAAAGTATGTACAATAGAGAAACCTAGATCCAAGCTTTAGGGTTTGTATGAGCACATAGGATGTCTTATGCACAAAACCCATCAGAATCAACCTCCAAACTCGAAATAGATGAACCTCCTCCAAGATCGGCTTGAGATTGAATGATTGAGTTCAATTTCTGATTAAGAATTTTATACTACTTCATAGTCATCAGCATATGATCAGGAAATTCTTCTTCGTCGTCGTGAAACTCCAATTCTTCGAATGTACCACCAAACCCTTCATTATCAGTTTCAGTCTCTATTTCAATGTTTTCGTGAATAGGTGAAGGTGGTTTGGGTGTATCAGTGGATTGAGAAGAGAAAATAGAAGTGAATGGTTGATTGATGATCTGTTCGAAGGTTGGTGAAACTGTGGTTGATGTGAGAGGAGTAGTAGATGATGGTGGAGTAAAAATAATTAGACCTTGATATGCATTCTTCGAACCTCCTTCACCCATGTCGACATTTGCATCCGTATCAGATACGTGTGCAGAGATGCCTTAAGTTCGAACCTCCTCAAAAGTAGATTCGGAAATCAAAACTTCGGGTGGTATGACAGTCATCTTCTTAGGAGTGGAACTTGTATTGAGATGAGTGAATTATGGTGTTTCTGGAATCCTTTCATCTTCTTCTGTGGACTCATTAGATACAACAAGTTTTCGTGTCTTCTTCTTTTTCTTCGTTTGTGACAAGTGTTTAGCCATATCCTCAGCTACTCGTTTCTTTGACACGGGAGAAACAGGAACAGGTACTTCACGAATTAAAACTCCTTGGTGAGTAATTTGAGGTTTTCGAACCATTTTCTGTGAAGGAGACTTGCGTTTGTGAGTAGATTTCATCTTGATTCTTCGAAACATCCCAATTTTCGAAGGAATAATCACATTTTCTTGAGTTTCTTCCACAATTGGCTCAATCACTTGAGTTTCATCAACTGTTACTTCAACATTTGCAGTCTGCTTCTTTGGAGACTTTGAGGATGTCGAACCCTTTGTTTTCTGTTCAAGTGAAGCAGGAGCAGCCTTCTTTGACTTTTTCGACTTCTTTTCTTCACGAGGCAACAAGATTCCTGTTGGAATAGAAGAGTCGATTGACTGCAAATATGCTACCAACACTGGATTCGAAGGATCGACCGTGTTAAGCATGCATCTTGAATCCGAGCAATATTGGGGAATTCATCAGCATTATCCACAATCTCCTTCGGATAATCATAAGATTGAAACGTAACTTTCTCATCATCATTTGGGACGAAAATACCTTCCTTTTTGTAAAAATATTGTAGAATCAGGCTCTA